CGAAGAAAAGTCTACACGCTCTTCGATATAAAAAGGAAAATTTGATCGAAAACACATTGTATTTTCTGCATCTTCTCTCCTGTTCTTTGTATCTATTTCTCCTTTTACTCAGTCAGCATTTGGGAAAGATTCATTTTTCAATACCATTAGCACTGCGCACTTACGTATCATTATGCATTTATAATGAAGGGAATGTATAAGAAATAAAAAATTTGTCAAATAATATTATCTTTAAGAATACGTAAGTGGACGACTGTTCATCGAAACATGTTAAAAGTGTGAAGAATTCTTTAATAGAGATGAATACAAGCGCAAATATTAATATCTAGACAAAAGCAAATATTTGAAAATAAGTGATACATTCGATAGGTATGAAGAAATGTTTCAACATTGTTTCTCGCATTTGAAAGGTATTAAGCAAATATCCTAAACAATCGCGAAACTCACCCGTTATAAATTAAAGCGTTACAATTATTTTCTTTCGATGACAGTAAGCTAAATAATGTTCTCTCGCACGTTAATTTTTGAAGCACAATATAAGCGTAAATATATTGTTGATTGCACTTTCTTTCAGTGGTTTGGATGAATTGCCTTCTTCTCAATGTATGGCGCTTCTGCAAAAATTGGCGCATAATGGACATACTGTCATATGTTCGATACACACACCCAGCGCAAAAATATTTCAAAAATTTGACCACGTCTTCGTCATCACTACAGGACAATGCATTTACAGAGGCAGTGCGAGCAACCTAGTGACATATCTACAAAGCGTGCACATAGAATGTCCGAGACATTACAATCTCGCAGATTTCGGTAAGTTTACAAGAATGTAAAAAAGCGATCGCACTTTCAATTATTCTAAATTGTAAATTACTCTAAATTACACTGATTTCTGCCAATATTGTACGCCCAAAATAATAGTATTAAGATTTCAAGAGAATAGATTCATAAGTTACATTAAATTGTTGTCTGAGAAATGTTACATGTCGCAGATTACGTAGATAATAATAAACGTCTGATCTGATGTACAGGATAATTATTTGCTCACAATGTAACATTGTACTGCGTTTGCTTATTAATACACGTTGTACTTTCATCGTACTTGATAAATATTTTATAACATTTTGTAATATTTTTATATTAAAGTTTTTCAGAGAAGAAAGAAAGAGAATGAAAGACATAAATCTTTTAATTGCGTATATTTTTTAATTTACACTTAATTGTATGGAAAAATTAAAATAATATAATATCGCGTTCAAATATACATACAGAGATATCACTTAATATCATTAAACTACAATCGTTTCAGTGATAGAAATCTCATCAGGCGAACATGATTTCGATCTGACTGAACGAATGATCGCTTGTATGGAAATGAAGGCACCAATTCTGCAGGTCTACCGCTCGAAGCAGGATTTTGAACTTGAAAGGAAAAATTATCAGAGACAATTATGTTTCGATCATTCCAGCATACTAATGCACAAAATGATGCTGCAGCTCTGTCGGAACAGGGTAAGATCAAGTGAATATTGGGTTTTGCTGATTACAATTGGCAAGTAAAAAACAACGGAGTGCGAAGGAAATCCATAAATTGATGACATTCCATAAATTGATGAAATTCAGTATTGAATNCTTCGATTTGACTGAACGAATGATCGCTTGTGTGGAAATGAAGGCACCAATTCTGCAGGTCTACCGTTCGAAGCAAGATTTCGAACTTGAGAGGAAAAATTATCCGAGACAATTATGTTTCGATCATTTCAGCATACTAATACACAGAATGATGCTGCAGCTCTGTCGGAACAGGGTAAGATCAAGTGAATATTGGGTTTTGCTGATTACAATTGGCAAGTAAAAAACAACGGAGTGCGAAGGAAATCCATAAATTGATGACATTCCATAAATTGATGAAATTCAGTATTGAATGATTTTGAAATGAACATCGTAGCAAACACCAATTAATAACAATATAACATCAATNAATGAACATTGTAGCAAACACCAATTAATAACAATATAAAATCAATGTTACAATTTCCTTTTCCACAATTTAACTGTTATTTTATATATGTTACATAAATGAGTAATATATTGCATTTACGATACATTATTGAGTGAGAAATTATAATTTTAATGTTATGTTATTGTTAGTTGGTGTTTGCTAAGATAATTGTATCTCTAATGAAAGAGAAATGTCAGGTCGGTAAAAGTACATGATACGCACGAATTAATATTTCCATAACATTGGTCCATAAACTTATCAAAACGAACGTGGAAATAAGCGATTTCTATGTGTATTCATAGGACCATCTGTACCTGAAGATATATTTGTACGTTTTCTTGGGATTCATTATTGGCGGAACTTTCTATGACATGGGTTACGACGGATCCAAGAGTATCTACAATTTGGGCTTTTGTTTTACGACTGTTTTGATATTCCTCTACATACCTACGCTGCCCATACTTCTGTGGTGTAAGAATAACTATGATACTTTTGCTACTTTAAATGAGTGTAATTAGAATTGGTTTGTAGAAAAAAAAAACACTAACAAGATTGAAGGTAGCAGAAAATCAATTGTTTTTACTATAAATGTAAAGGGCGTTGACAATATATTCATGAGTATTTCATGA